ACATTGTGAATGATTTCAAAGAACTCAAATGATGCACTTGTCAGAAGGAAAAAATTCCGGAGGGTTGCCTCATTGATTGGAATGGAACTGTTTTATTCAGAAGGCTCAGATTAGCAGCAGAAGCAGCTGTTCAATGAAACACTTTCCTTTTCCACCTACTCTCCAACTGGATGACGGCAGGCAGAGAGAGATTGAAATGACCAAGGTTAGAGCATGATTTGACAGGACTTCTAGGTTTTTGCTTGAATGATTTTTTTTTGTATTAAATTCTTTTATTGGTACATTGTAGGTATACAACACAATTACATTTCTCATTGGGAATTGTACCTTTACATAATGCATCTTGGTTCTTACTTTTTCCCCATTCCTAGCCCTCCCTTCACCCCCTCCACCCTTCCCTATTTACAAAGACTTTATTTCCATTTTTCCCATTTCTCATCGTTTTTCCTTTCCCTTCTTTCCTTTCCTCTGCCCCTCCCACTACCCTACCCGTTGGGACCTTTTCTTCCTATTTTACATTATCGATTATTCATTTTAATCATTGGTACATTTTAGGTATACAATACAATGACATTCATCATTGGAAATTTGCACCTTTACATAGTCTCTCTTGGTTCTTATTTTTCACCCTTGCCCAGCCCTCCCTTCAACCCCTCCATTTCTCCCTATTTACAAAGATTTTGTTCCTATTTTTCTATTTTCTCATATTAATCCCATTCTAGAATACAGGTGCAATTAGTGGATTGGTTGAATACTCAACTATTTGGTTCATATACTAAGGTTCTAAGAGTTTTTTTCATTGTTTCTTAATTATTAGAGTTCACAAGTCAAGGTTTTTTATACTAATTTGCGTGATTTTTCTGTCCCTGAATTGCATAAGCAGGTACCCCATTCCCTTTATATCTCGACAGAGTTGATGAACAAAATGTTCAAAGATACATTATTTTATCATGTTAGCTCAGTAAATGGGTCCTCTGTCAGACATACTGGTCTTAGTTCTTAATTTTAGTTAATTTTCTCCTTTCCTTTTACAAAACTCTGTTCCCACTCACAAGAACTGATACACTCATTGCTATGGTCGCCATTTAGACAGGTGTTGGGGATACAAGAAGTCAAGGGCTTCCTTCTCTTTGGACCTGTCAAATACTAGACCCCCAGAGACTGTGAAGTGTGTAAGTGCTGCTTGAGCAATGGGTCCATGGGGCGCATGGGAAGACAGCTTTGGAATGGAGGCAGGCCACATCTGGCAGGCATTGCTCTTCCCGTTTAGACCCTACTCAGATGGCCATGGTGAGCCACTGTAAGAACTCAAAAAAGAAGCAATGTGGTATTTTTTAAAAATCTGCACTGAAGGAAAGCATTATAATATGGCCCAGCATTTGCTTGGTACTGGGGATAAAAGAGGGAAAGAGGTAATATGGCCCTGCCCTTAGGGAACTTACAACCTAGTACAGTAGTAGCATGGGAATTATATAGGGGGAAATGGTTATTCTGATGATAACAGTGACAAAAATAGGAAACATAACAGTGTATATTCCCATTTATGGAACACTCACCAGGAGTCAGGCCTTGCACACTTCATATACTCTCTGTCCTCTCTTCACACAGAAACTAGTGATTTTCACAGGCTGTATCTTGTCATCTTTCTCTCAAACCCTTCCAGAGGCTTCCCATCTCAGTCAGTGCCTATAGCCAAGATCTCTGAAACTACAAATGTCTCACACTGCCACCAATGGTGATTTCTCAGCACTCATCTGTAACTACTTCCTCCTCTTTGCACCAGCTAGGGTTTTTCTACACCTTTTTGCCTTAGGGCTTTCCTGCTCCAGAAGGTTCTTTCTCCTTTGTATTTCCATGGCTCACTCTTACCTCTATCAAGCCTCTGCTTAAGTGTCTTTTCTTGCCTCTCCCAACCACTTTCTTTTTAATTTTGAGTAAAGGTGTCACTAAGTTGTCTAAGGTAGGCTTGGACTTTTGATTCTCCTGCCCTAGCCTCCTAGTGTTGGGATTACAGCTAAATCTTTTCAATGCCACCTTCTCTAGCTATCCTGCAGGATATCATGCCAATAGCATTCTCTATTCCTTTTGCCTTGTTTTATAGTTCTCCTTGACACTTACATTCAGACACATCACACACATGTTGCTTTCTTCCTCCACTAAATCGTAAACTCCATGAGGGTAGGCTCTTTGTCTTATTTGGTGCTGACTTCTTGCTAACTAGAATAGTGCCGGTCATCACTTCTCCTCAATAACCATGCAATGAATAGAAGAATGAAAGCTTACAGTAGCCCTGTGAGGTGAGTACTATTATTTTTCCCACTTTACTGATGAGGAAACAAATACCAATTGAAATACTAAAGGTTCTGTATCTGTAAAGTGGCAGAACTGGGATGTTCATAGGATAAAACAAGAATCAAAACCTCATCTTTCGTAATCTTGTACTGTGTGCCCACCATGCTTCTAAGTGCTTTACGTACTACTAACATTTAATATTCACCACCTTATTTTACATGAGGAAATTAAATTAGGGGTTTAGGATCTGGCCTGACATTTTTGCAGTTGGTAGTAAATTAAGAGCCTGTGTTCTTAACCATTTGCTATACTACTTAATTGGGGTAATTCTTCAAGAACTATGACTTGTAGTTAAGGTACCAGAAGAAATCCAGGATTATTAACACTACTATGACTGGGGACTACCATTGAGGGTAGTGATTAAATCTTTGATATCTTTACCTGGCTATTAGGATACAAGTTCACCTACAGTGAAAGGGATCTAGATCAACCACAACAGATGACAGAAGTTAGTAGCTGCCTCACACCAAAGTCTGGGCAGACTCATAGTATGTAGAATGAGATCCTCAGGAACCCACCTTATTGCTTTGTAATCCCCAGAATGTTTCCCTCTGTCATAGTTTGTTTGTACTAACAAAACACTGGAGATTGAGAAATTTATCAAGAACAGAAATGTATTTCCATACAGCTCTGAAAAGTCCAAGACCAAGGTGTCAGCCAGCAGGTTCTGTTTTGATGAGGGCCACTCTGTTTGCAAGATGGTGCCCTGCTGTACCCGCTGTAGGGAAGTATACTGTGTCCTCATGTGGCACAAGGGCAAAGGAGAGCCTAAAGTAGTTCCTTCCAGCTCTTATTTTTTGAGGGGAGGGGACTTTGAGAAAGGGTCTTTCTATATAGTTTAGGCTGGCCTTGAACTCACTATGTAGCCCTGGCTGGCCTCAAACTCACACCAATCCTCTGCTTCAGCTTCCTGAGTGCTGGGATTACTGGTATGTGCCACCACCTCTGGCCCTTCCAGGTCTTTTATAAAAACATGAATCTATTCACAAAGGCAGGTCTCTTAGGACTTAATCACTTCCCCAAATGCCTTGCCTGTTAATACCACCACAATGGGGACATCATTCAAACCCCCCAAGATAGCTCAATATTACCACATTCCAATCACCAGAAAGGGACAGAGGGAAATGGCAAGGGGACATTCCATTTCTTCCTTTCCTCCTCTTCCTTCTTGAGATAGGGCCTTGCTATGTTGCCTAGGCTGGCCTTGAAGTCTTGAACCGGGCTCAAGTGATCTCTTGATCCATCTTCCTGAACAGTTTGCACTACAGGTGCATGCCACCATCAGGCTTCGCTCCACTCCTTTTAGAGCACAACCTGGAAGATGCAAATATCCTTTCTACTCACACTCCACTGGCCAGGACTTGGTGATCTGGTCACACTTGGGGTTTATTATGGGTAACCATGTGTCTGGCTTTATTATATTAATAATCATGTACACTGAGGATCAACTAGCAGTCTCCATTGCAGAGATCCCAATAGGCTTCTCAAACGTAACACTGCTGGAACTATGTTCCTGCTTGTTCTCCCAGTCCTTTGCACAGCTATCCCCATCTCAATGGCGGCAAATGAGACAAATCCAGAGGCTTAATTTTAAGACATAGTGAATTTGAAGTGTCTGTGGAGTATCTAGTATAAATTTTCAAAAAGGATTTGAAAATTTTGTGTCTGAAAGTTTCTGAATGAGCTCTGTGTTCAAGATTCAGACTTGATTTCTGGCTGAAGTGCTAAAAAGTGATTATGAAGGGTACTGTCAAGAGACTGTAATATGGTGGGCATTGGGGAACCAAAGCTGGACAGGCAGAGGACTCTGCAGAAGGCACCCGAGGAAGCGCGGCCCAAGACAGTCGGAGAAGCCAGACAATATGTAAGGTGCTGGAATCAAAAAAGCAGTTTCTTGGAGGCAGTGGTCAGTATCTACAAGGCTGCAGAGGTCAGATAATTCGGAAATTCAGAGACAACCTTTGGATTTGGCTATTATGCGAAAGTGACATCAATACAGGTGATTTATACAGTAAAACTGAGGTGGATGCTACATTTTAGCAGCTGAAGAGGAATTTGGGGGAAAACGGGAACCCAGGCACAGACAGCTTTTTAAAGAGAAGGGACAAAATGGGAATTTATGAATAGGAGAGGTAACAACAGGGCAGTAAGAGTCTTGAGGTGAACCGCCTAACCCCTGTGGAAAAATATTAGCTGTAGAAAGGATGAATGGTTCATATCTTAAGACAAATCAAGAAGAATGCAGATTTACACAGGTTAGGCATGAAGGAGAGCATGCACAACATGTTAATGATAAATAACGATACAGATAATATTAATAGTACTACTACTAAGGACTAACAAATTCTTGACTGCATTCTGGGAGAAAGATGCAGCAGGACTACAAATCTGAGCCCAGCCCGGGAAATTTAGTGACCTTGACTCAAAATAAGCAAAAACCAACCAACCAAACAAACAAAATGCCCTGAGTTCAATCTCCAGTACCACCCCCAAAAGTTTTTAAACGCACTTATAAACCAGACAATGTTCTTCATGGAGCTAATTTTACTTCAATAGCGTTTCTTAATACTAGGGGTACTCACATACTGAAAGCTTAATGTCTTGAACGTGTTAACATTTTGATGAGGCCTAAAAACAACAACACTGAATACCACCCCATTTAACCTTTATTTTTTCCAGACTCTCGGATTTCTGATCCTGGGGTACGCTGCGTAAGACAAAAAATGTTTTTGCACTTGGATTCATCTGTTGTGATTCACATCAACAAGAAATCTTGAGCAACAAAATAGCTCTGTCAAAAAACCAGCTACACCAGCAGTTTAGGGAAGAATGCTTCATTTTAAAAAGCTTGTTGGGATTAGTAGATACATATTAGTAGACTACTCTCATAATCACTGAAAAAGTTTCCATACTTTTACTTCCTTTTGAACTGATTTCTTGAGAGCAGGGATAGAGATTGTCGATCTTTTATTGCTTCTCAAGGCCTGGCAGAGTTCTAGGTAAAGAGGAGAAGTTCAGTTTGTTCAAGGAACAAATGTATGCCCTCACAAAATTAAACTGCTCTTTTTACTCTACATGTGAAATGAGAAAACTATTAGAAACTGAGTGTCATTAGGACTAGAAGAGTCTACAGAATTTACTGCACACTTAGTAAATACTAAATACCTGAAGGAAAAATATGGCTATGATACAGTAGAGAAATGTTCACCAAAACTGACGTATGTGGAGGTGGAACACTACTGAAATTCTGTGGACTCCTGACAATACTCATGCTGGTAATTTTCATTAATAAATTTGAAATGGATAAACCAAAAAACACAGTAAGTTCCTGACTCAAGTATAATACTAGTGTCACTAGTAAGAATAGTTAACATTAATGAACTAAAAAGGATATTAGTTAATTTCTCCAGATTCCTCCAGGAGGAATCAGGTTCCTTTTTGGTCTTAGTAAAGAACTGGACACCTTTTTGACATCTAAGAGCAATTTTATCTCCCTTCAGTCTTTAATCTTTTCAGAATTCAGGGATTTTGGTTAATTTTGATACTTCAGGGTACTATAAAACTTCAGACAATTTCTACTTAGGGAGTAGAATAGTGGAAAGTATCTCTACATGCTAGATATAGTAATAACGTTTGCTTTTATTCTAATAGTCTCCTTAAAATTTTTCGTTCTCAGTTGTTTTAGTAATTTGCAAAGATAAATCCTTAAAGGCTTATTCTATTTCTTTCCATGAACTATAATAGTAAAGTTTCCAAATGTGTAGCTCTAATGAGGGAGGAATGAAAATATTTTTTAAATACTTCAAAATCAGACACAGCTTAATACTGTCATTTGCCATCAGTTTTCCTAGAACTTAAATTACTCTTGCTTATTGTTGTACAGTTAGTTTTTTCCTGGTACCGGGGATCGAACTCAGGAACTTGCGCTTGCCAGGCAGGCACAGCGCCACTGAGTTACATACCCGGCCCTAACTGGTTAATTTTTTAATAGTTGGCTTTAGGTGGGACGTGGTACATAAACATATGTATATATCTCAGACTTTATAAAGCAAGAATGACAGGTAAAAAAGACATGTCTATGCATGGTTCATGGCATAAGAAATTTGAAGATAAGATGACTGAGGCTTCATATAATATTTTAAGGGCTTATCCACAAAGTTGCAAATCATAGCTGATTGTCAATGATTGTGGCTTTGCTAGCAAGTGTTGAACTCATTAAAAACTCCTTTTAGATAAAACGGCCACCCTGATACGAAATATGATGACGCACTGCTTCAAATCGGTTCGGCCGACATGCGGATCAAAATTAGCTTCCATCCACGTGGAGTCAACTCGGAGGCCACTTCGCCACCCGGACGCACTGGGAGCCCTCCGCGAGGGGACGGGCGCTCCCCGCCGGGTCCCGGGGGCTAGCGATGCGCTCTGCGCGGGCAGGAGGCCTAAGCGGATGACCTTGGCCTCCGGAAAGCTAGCCCGCACGCTCAGGTCACCCTGTCCCGTTTACCGGAGCAGCTCCGGGTGAAGAGGGGTGGTCAGGGTCGGAGCCTAGCGACTGAGGCTTCTGCGCCGCCTCGGGGCTTGAACCTATCAACGCCGCCTCCGCCAATACTCGGAGCCGACTCGTCCCCCAATAAAATCGGAGGCGTTCTTCCACTGGGTAGACCACGGGGTGCGGTCCAGCCCTCCAGGGAGTGCCGCGGGCTTCCGGAGCGTACCTGGTTCTTTCTGCTCGGCCACCGACAGCACAGAGTGAGGTGAGTGTTAACCCCTTTGCCCAGTCCTAAGATGGCGGCCGGCCCCGGTGGGTTCGGCCGAGCCGCGAGCCCTCATCTCCCCTTCCCAGCCGCCCCTGCGCCGGGGGCGACGGGAAGCCGGAGGGGGGCGAGCTGGCCGGGGGTGGGGCCGAGCGCGGCGCCCTCCGCGTGCGTTCCGTCCGGCCCCGACTCCTCGCGTCTCGGCTTGAAGCCCTCGCCCGGCCGGGCGGCGCGCGCTGCCTGCCGGGATACTCGGCCCGCCCAGCCCGTCCTCCCGTTTGGCGCCGCGGTCGCGAGATCAGTGTTCCTCCCAAGATGGTGGCGCTGGGATCGGGGTGACTCTGGGAGACGACAGGGCCCGCTCCCTCTCCGCCTAGACCGCGACGCACCACCCAGCCCTCGCTCGTGCGCCCCGCCGCTGCGCAGCCGCCCGCTGCCCGCTTAGCTTCGCCTCCGCCGACCCTCAGCGCCTCCTCGGCGTCGCTCGCGGCCTGCAGCCCCTGCCAGGCGGCTCCGCAACCCCTCGGCGCGCACCGACAGCGGCGGCTGGCGACGAGCGTCGGGTTCTCGGCGGCCCAGGCGCGCCGTGTCCCGGCCCGGCTTCCGGAGAAGGCGGCGCGGGTCCCGCATGAGCCCCGGCGGTGGCGGCAGCGACCGGGAACGGGGCGGTGGTGGGCGGAGGCGCGGGCGAGGGTGACTACGACCCGAGAGGCCGCATCCCAGGCGCGGGGGCGACGACAGGTCAGTGTCGCTGGACGGGCCCGGCGGGCGCGCTTCCTCCGCCTAGCCCTTCGCCCCCGCCACTCCCGGGCGGTGCTGCCGGGGTGGGCGCCTTCCTCTCGCCTGCCCGAGCGGGGTCGGGGCCGGGGTGGCCGCGCTTTAACTGTCAGCCCGCCTGGGCGTCCAAGGAGGATTTGGTCGCCCGAGTGGACCCAGGCGGGGCACACGCGCGGGGCCCCGAGGTTTGGGTCTCGTCCGAACTGGGATCGCCGAGCCAGCCGGGGCCCCGGGCGGGGAATGGCCTGGTCCTTCAGAGGCATCATCGAGGTTTCTGGCACCCCGAGGAAGACATATTTAGATATGTGCTTAGTGGGTTGGGCTTTGGGGGTGGATTGATGGGGGGGGCCGAATGAAGTGGGGTGTCAAGCTCGGGAATAGTGCTTGCAGATTACTCGTGCCAGTCACCGAGATTTGTAGTTAATGTGAGTTACGGTGTTTACCAGAGACTGTTCTGTTAAATTTAAATGCAAATCTGTAAGCACCCCGCCCCCCCCGCGCCCTTTTCAGCTAAGAAAATGGAAAGAACCCTCTCCTCATCTTGGTGGGGAGGCTTTTGTTGGTAGAGCCAGAGCTGAATGTACCAAATGCCTTAGTTGTTAAACTATAAAACAAGATTTTAATATATTGGTTCATTTAGAATTCTCGAGAGATAATTGAGTCCTAATTTTTTTATGACTTCCTATGAGCGTGGCAAAGTAGAAACTGTACAAAGTCTGTGATTATATTAAGTGGCTAGCTTGCTTTTCAAATGTAAGCTAAATAGCACGTGGGATCTGTGCTTCAAAGTAATTTTCAATCATGAAGGAGTATAGATATGATCCATAATTTTGCATCACTCCACTACCTTCAGTTTTGAAAAACCAGCAGTTTATTCCATAATTTTTTTTGGGGGGGGGAGAAGGAAGAGGGTTTGAAATGAAGTCCTAAAGTTTAAGAAATACAAATGTTAAAAAGTTACATGTTAAAGACATGTAGGAGCCCAGTAAATTTGAATAAATTGGAGAAGTGGGATAAGTGAGATTATTTAATAAGCCATGTGAAATTTAGGGTTTAGGAGAGATAAAAAGAAAATTTTGTCTTGGAAAGGGTAGTAGGAATAGCTTTGGGATTAGAACCTCCCTTTAAATCTAAGATACTTACCACATTTTAAATGAAACGAATGCAATACTAATGATGCTGATGATAAATACTAAAGACTACCAGAAGCCCTTAAACGTATAAACTTAAACAAGACCAAAAAACAAAACCAACAGCAAAACAAGAAATAGCTTCAAGAAAGAATTTACAACCTTTACATATTTGTAGTATGCACAGAATTACAAAAACAATACAAAGAAATAATTTGTAATCTTTACACAATTAGAATGCAAACTATGAAAGTCTTGTATCAATATTTTACTAGCATTACGGTGCTCAGTAGTGCACACACTGTCTTCTCTGGACATTGTCCCCATCCCCCGGGAGTTCAACTTTATACAGAGATACAAAATAACTGTTGATTCTTTTTCAGAGGTTTTGTAGAGTGCTTTTATTTTACCTCCCTTAAATCTTTCCTTATTTCATGGTTTAAAAGTTGGTGGTGGGAGGAAAACTTTCTCATCTTCCTTGTTCAGTACATTTAACAGGACTCACTGGGTGCCGACAGTGCCTTTGACTTATAAGATTTAATCAGTTTTATTTCTTAAACTTTAGGACATTTTGGTTTCTGTGTTCTTCACTCTCAAAAAATTTTTAATTGTTTGTCTCAGTATTGTAATCAGAGGCTTTACCTAAAACTACCTGCCCAAGCTCTTGAAATGATGTTTCCAAATGTCTGTTTTCTTAAATGATTACTGGTTCTGTATCATTCACCAGTCACGTTTATTTAGACTTATACCTGATAAACCAAATGTAGAAACATAATGCATGTGCAGCTATTAAAATTTTTTCTAATTTTTTGAGTGAAAACAAATTTTCAGAAGTAGGCTTTCAAGTAAGTAGTGCGTGTGCCAGAAGGTTGTATAGAAGATATGTTAGCTGCTCTTTTCGTTATGGTTCAGGACAACAGTTTTGCCTGGTTTTGGCAGTTTTCCCCTAACTGCCAAGTGTAAAGATAATGTAATAAATCAGAACTATAATGGTATGTGCAGTGGAAGTAGCTCTGTAATTAGCCTGCTTTTCTTGATCCACAGTTTTATTATCTCTGAAACAAGATGGTGAAATTATCTCAGGTTTGTGAGGATTAAGGTATGTAAAATGCCTAATAGGGTAAAGGCACTCAGTTTTATCTTAGAAATAATTTTCCTCCCTGGTTTTCCTGAATAGTCTTAAAGCACCTTGTAAATACTGAACTACAGCATATTCTGCTTTATACTGCTTGATTTTGATTTTTTTCATTGTGAACTTCCTCTTAAAGGGCAAGGACTGCTAGTAATTACCAGGGAGTTTGATACCATATGTCTTAGTCTGTTTTGACAGTTAATACAAAGTACTCGAGACTGGGTGGCTTAAGAAAAAAGCAAATTTAACAGATTTATTTCTCACCATTCTGGAGGTTGAGAAGTTGAAGATCAGTGTCCTGGCAAACTTGTGGGTGTCTGTCGAGTGTCCACTTCTTGGTTCTTAGTTATTTTTTTACTGTAACCTCTTGCAGTGGGAGGGTACAGCGTTTTCAGTTGGGCTGGCTCCATTCACTAGGGGCAGATTCTCCTTAGAGCTCCACTTCCTAATGTCATCGTAACCTTGGAGTTAGGGTTAGACTTTCAACATAGGAATTTTGATTGGACACATTCAGACCATAGCATTGGCATATGCTTGAATTAATTATCAGTAAATTAGCGAAATATCAACTGACACTGAGTATTTATTATGGCTACTATGATTCAGCTAGGTTTCCTGGAACAAGAAACAAAACAAAAGAATATCTTGTCATTTGGAAGCTGGTCCACATAACACATAAAAAAGTAGTGAATCTACCAACTCTTCAAGTCTTAGGAAGTAGTTAGGAAGTCTCCCATCCACCTTTGTGGAGGTATTTTAATGTTTTCCACAGTATTAGAAGGCAACCTTCACAAATTGCCACTAGTGGACCTTTTTTTCCTTCTAATAAAGGAAATGAAGTAAAATTACATTAGGAATAATTAGTGTTAATCTTCCAGAAACTTATATCCAAATATGAAATGTTGCAGTAAAGATGCTATGTAGATAAGTTCTTTATATAGAAAATAAAATAACTTACTAATACATGCCCAATGAATTTCTTTGCCAGCTTTCATTTTCATTTAATCTCAAAAGTGTCACTTGTAATGCTTTGATCTAAGTTATCTGAAGCCTGTAAATTCTAATATGAATAATAATTTGGAAAGGTCATTCTGAGAATGAAATAAAGTTAGTGTTTTTCTTTAATATTGCTCTTTGCAGTTCAGGTTTATCTAGAAATCAATTGTTAGTGTTTGATTCTAATATTTGTGACTTATCTCCCTGAAATTGTATATACAAAATTAAGTGCTTCAGACTTTCAGCAGTTTCAGTCACCAAATGCCCAAGGACAATTGAGATGGAGGAAGGGGCACACTGATTTTGGTGTCATAACATCTTGGGCTCATTTGTCTTCTCTAGCTTCTTAGCTGGTCAGATGCAGGTCATTTAGCTTTCTACGACTTTGTTCTGGCCAATGAAGATGATACTGCTTTGTTTGAGAGGATTATACTTTTCAAATGCGATTTTGATTTTCTTAAAAATGTGAGTATTAATACTGTACAAAGTGACCTTACAACTGATTTAGTGACTTACCAACAGAAACATTGGTTTGTGGTAGATAGGCAATTGGAACCTTGGTAAATTTTTATGCTTTTCTCTGTTAGCATTTTAAATCGTTTTCAGAAGTATTTCTGGAAATTTGTAGTGTATGAATGTGTGAATTTATTTTAAATTTGGTGTAACTACACATGAACAGTAGATATTAGTGTTGTTACTTAGTATTATTGATACAAATTCCATTTGGAATTTGCTCAACTTGATCTTTTATCTAGTTTTTTTTAAATTGTTTTGATACTAGGGATGAAACTCAAGACCTTGCCCTTGTGAGGCAGGCTGATCTCTTGTCTTAATCTGGTGAATGACAAGCGAATCATACATATAACCACTTAAATCATAAGATTTAAAGTAGGAGAGCTTTTTGGGGACAGGATCATCACGGAGAACACTTTGGAAGTTGAATTTCAGCAACTCTGAACAGGATCTCCTGTAAGGCACTGCTTCTATCATGGATGAGAGCTCTGTGTAAGATTTTATTAATTGAAGTCATTGTCTGTATTGTAAGCAAAAGCAGCTAAGTTGTATGTCGACCTTGACCACTTCTTACATAACTAGAATAAAAATCTTCCTTTTATTTGACCTTGTTAGCTGGCATGGGTGGGATTTGATGCTGCAGTCTTAGCAGCTCGGTAATTTTGGTCTTCTGTACCTGTTACAGGAGTGAAACATCAAAATAACTTTGACCCGTGTCTGTTACGCAGGCTTGCAACTCTTTTCTAGTTCTTAATGTGTGCCCATTGTGTAATTACTGAGCGGTCCAGGGTATTCTTTGCCCGTTCAATGAAGACAAGTGGTGTTGAACAGGAATTTCTTAGCTGTGGGCTGAGTGAAAATGCCCCTGCATGGGACCTCTCCACGCAGGTTCTTTTCCTGTGGTGGCTTTTGCCTCCTGTCTGAAGGATGGGTTGTCCCTTTCAAGGCCTGCTGGGGAATGGACAAACCTCATGTTTTGTTACTTTCTTGCACTCTGTAGCCTCCTTTCTGAAATTCACTATTTTCTTCTCTGTTGATACTTTAAGCACTGCAGCTACCACTACTGGAATTTTTTTTTTTCTTTTTTCCAGCAAATACTTGCCTGCTATCAAATGTTAAGCATAATGCTGTTTTTTGGAAGGGAAATGTTGAAGTGCCCAGCACTGTTTTCTATATAAATCTAATGAGCCATGGGGGAAATATGGGTTATTTCCAGCTTTTAAATAATGTTAGTACTTTTTTATTCAGAATTTTATTATTGTGCCGCTGTGTGTGTGTATTCACCAGTTTTGCTAATCACACAGTGTACTGTAAATAAAGATATTTAATATTAAATATTTTAGTTTTGGATTTGAGAGTTAAAAATTATGTCTTGAGTGCCTGTTGTACCTGGCATACATATTAATTTATAAATCCTACTTCATATGATTAATTGGGTAACATTTTTCTTTCCTACCTTTTTAAGTGAATTGACTCTGTTCTGTGTTGTTGG